GAGACAGATCATATTTTTAATATACACCCCTATTCAGCACTGGTCTGAGTGTCTGTGTAGCTTCAGCTCCAAAATTTAACAAAGTGTAAGCATTTCTGTTAGCATGTTTTTTTCTCACTGAATATTCCTTTGCTGAAAAGAAGGTAGCTATCCCAAGTGATTTATTGTTTAATGCCATAAATATCACATAGACCCTTTATTTATGTTACTATTTGATTTTTATCTGTATTTTAAACAATTTTTAAAGCCCTATTCTAAATATAAGTGGTCTTATAACTGAAGGTGTACTTGTTTCAAGGACTGAAGTCCCAGAAATTGTGTTTATGATGCATAAATAGGCATGCTCTACAGAAAATATGCAATCCTGCTTCCATGACCATATGGATCCTCTATGTGTGTCCATCCTCCCCAGGTTGGAAAGGAGTAGGGTCTCACCAAATTTTGCCACCCAAACGTTCAGGCAGGGTTGAACCCCAGAAACACTCCCAGATGTGCTTATGTTAAAGATAAAATTTAAACCAAATCCCATCAAACGGCTGCAAGGAAACATGAACTAAATATGTTGGGTGGCCAGAAACAGCTGCAATCAACATAAAGTTTAGTGTCAAGAATTACATTCTTTTTAGCTCCAGAGCTGGAAACAGAGCAATTTGCAGCTGTAGAATTTTTCTTCTTCCTTTAGCTCTATTTGGCTCCATTTGGCTGGGTCAGATTCCATCACAGATCGTGAAAAAGTATTTTGAAATATATCCAACATTGTTTTACTGAAGGAGGATCAGTCATTTCCTCACTGAAGAGGTGAAATATTTACCTGATTAAACTATTATGTTGTGTGCACTGTAATTAGCTACATGAATGCAATGGCTTTAAAAGTACCAGATCAGCCTGACTAAGCTAATTAAAAGAACATTTGACCTATGAAAATCAGGAGAATATTTTCCCCTGTACCTCTGGGTAGTGTACTAAGAAAGATAATTGCGTAAAAGTTCAAATAAGACTTAAATTTGAACATGTCAAAAAAATTCTGAACAGTATGAAAATCTAAATCCAGGATAGAAACTTACTAGAAACACTGAGGAACCAGATTAGTTAGAATTTGTTATGGACAACAATCAATTTATTACTAGAAACCAGACATTTCTTGTAAAACTTTATTGCCATTAGAATATCAGTGCTGTTCATATGGCCATCACTTTCTGAAATGTATGAAGCTTTCTGTTTGTGCTCATGTTGGAAGGAAATTAGTTGATACTCCACCTGTTTTCCAATGCATTTCAAAAACTACATCCTAAATTCCATTTTTTAATTCTGTAGAGAGGAACATTGACAACCAATTTCCAAAATGACCGAAACTGTAAACACAGAAAAACAGGGAAAGGAAATAGAAACTCTATGATTTGTAATCTAATGAAGAATGAAACTTAGCTGAAATGTTCTGCAGACAACACCAGGTTATCAAAGAAGCTGAGTATTCAACTGAGTTATATGGGCAAAAAGCTCTTGCTAATCCATTCTCAAGTTGTGATCTCTGGAAATTTTTCATCCTGGTAGTTTAAAATTAATGCACAACAATACATTTTAGTCTCAGTATCAGACTAGCACTTTTTTAGTTAAGAATCTCTACTTTTTTATAGAAATCTTGTAGCTTGTAAAATCTTATTAAAGCTACCTTTCTGTTACCACTTCTGTGATGGAAAGGTGATGAATTTTGTCTAATTTTCCTTAAAAAAAGACTCCAAATCTAAACTATTTTTTATGTGTAGATTTTACATGGAATAGCATTATATTGTGTATAGAATTTTGACGAGAGTGAAAAGGCATCTACGTGATGGACAGCAATGTAGCTCTATTATTCAAAGCATCTCTGTGGGCAATTCCTAGCACATGCTTTTCTTCCTGACACAGTTGTTTTCTAACAGCTGTGATCACTGGCTTGATTATCTTGTTTGTTATCCATGTGTGAAGGATACATCAAAAAGAAGTGATTTTGTGAACAAATCTACTTCCCAAAGTGCCTCTGGCTCCTCCTGCAAGTTTGCAGAAAAATCAGAGCTTTTTCAGTTGAACATCTGTCTGCAAGAAAACTTTTGAAAACACCCTGCCACATCAGATGGCTTTCTCCGTAATAATGCCACTGCTGTTCCACAAATGATTACACTCATTTTCTTCTCAGGACTCAGCCTCCCTTTTAAATGTTGTTAGAATATCCAGTGCTTGATCAAATTTAAAGCAGGACAGCTTAGGATCACCACTTGTTAATGCATCAGCAAATTCCTTTCAGGAATGTGCTGTTTTCAGCATATTGTACTCTGGGATCAATTGGTTCCTGTAAATGAGGTCATGAATCACTTAATCAGGATACAGTCCTGGAAAACAGTACAGTGGTTTGGAAATCTCAACATTCTGTGTTTTTCATGTGCCTGGATTTGCTAATGCCATACTCAAATTTAATTGATACAGATACAGTTCTAAGATTCCACATGACAGTATGCTTTTTTACAGCAGCCATAAGTACTTGTAATTGCTCTAAGGTGGTAAATAGAGGCACCAACCAGAGTGACACACACACACACACACACACACACACACACACACACACACAGCGAAATTAGTTCTGGGGTTCTGGAAATTAAAATACCTACCCTGTATGAAGTAACAGCTTATTTTATAGGCTTATTTAACATTTTTTCTCAAAAAAATCAATCATGTCTGTAAGCACATAGTTGTTTTTCTACCTTCTCATCCTTTATCAACAAGTGATTCCTCTGTTTTGATCTTTGTAGCTATCAAAAGTTAGAACAAACACAGCATTGGGCTAAACCTGATCCTTTTGCCCAGACAACAGACCCAGTAAAAATAAAATCAAAAAGGGTTAAGCATTTATATTGGATTTAACAGAGTTATGCCTTGGTTTGGCAGTAAAATGTAGGACATCTCCTTCCTGCTCTACTTGCCTAATTCCACATTTGCATGTTGAATTCAATGACAAAATTACTATGAACTTCAGATGTCCTGTAACGAAAATAAACTGTCACATTCAAAACACTTTGGGAATTATAACTGAAGGATTAAATTAAGCGACAGAAAAATAGCAAAGTGTTGGGAATTAAATGCTCCATTCACACTGATCTAAGGAACAGGAAATGTCATCTTCAGAATTTACTTCCCTGTAAGACTTTGTCAGGCAAAGTTCTTATGATTGTTTTCATGACAGAGAGAGTATGAATCCTTCATTTTTTAACCGAAAATAATCAAAATCCCCTATGACTGTTCTGAATCCATTTTGTTAAAGAAAACCAGCTGAGACTACTACAAGAATGTGCATGATAGTGCTGGACAAGCCTGTGTCTCCTAGTCAGTCTGAAAGGACTAAGTTCTTCATTTATGCTGCTTATAGTAGGTTATGTGAACATCTCCAAACCTCAGCAGATTCATTCAGTGTGGATTTGTAAATAAGAAGTGTCTCCTAGTAAAAAAAAAATACTCCCTCACCTACTTTCTTTGTATGCCAGATTTCCTTTGGAGTAGGCTATTAGAAGTCTTCTTGGTGTTTTTTTGGCTTTATGTTCTGCTAAAGCAATTCCCTGAATGCTATTGTGCTCACTCCAGCGTGCTTGCTCAAGTGTGAATAGATCTTCACTTTAGCTCTCTGTTCCTGAGATAGGAGACACCACATTCCTATGAGAAATGTCCTTATCAATCTTCTGTACTTGACATTATCTACACAAGGGGCAATAGAGCCCTAAAATACCTTGTGCCTCTGGACAATCCTGTCATCAGCTGTAGAGTGAACCTGTTCTCACTGTTTTCTTTTGCTGTAGTTCTTCAAAGGTTATTTAACCCATGCTGGCCACAGACAGCTAAGCTGGACCCTATATCCAGTATCACTGCAGCCTTCTCACCAGCAGGTGATTATCACAACCACACATTCTCCACAGGGATAAAGCTTAATGAGAATCATCATCATCAAGGAAACTGCAGTTTTCTCATCAAGCTATTAACACAAAAAATACATTGAGTTATTTATTTTTCCCAAATAGCTTAAAAGATTTTCCTTAGCAGAAACGTAGGTTAGACTTTTATCTCACTGGCCTAAATCTATAGAATAATTCTATTAGCTGCCCTGGTCTTACTTTTATGAATTTGAAAGAAGAACTGGGGCCTTGATATATTAAGACAGCCTTGAAACAGCTTTCAGTCTCTAATTAGGAATCCACTGAAAGGGAAAAAGTGTTTGTTATGATAAATACTGACAGAAGTGTAGTTACATAAGCCAAGCACTCCTGGTGTAATAACACTACCCACCTGTAACTCAGCCAAACAGAAGGCTAATGCCAGACAGGGAAACAAAGGGGGATCAGGAGGCCCAGACAGAACAGGAACCAAAAGGCCATTTGTCAAGCAGTGGCCTTTTCCTTCACCAAATATTGGCTAGAACAAGTCCTTATATGTAATAGATCCATAAAACAATTAGGGGTGAAAGACTAAACTATCTAGCTCAGCTTCATAGATCAGTTGCCATACAGAAAATTTCCTCACTGCAGTTTCTCCTCTGACTGGAAAAACAAGACCCAAGGATTGACACCTTAACTTTGAAGTCACATTCCTCACCTAAGATATTCACAATTACAAGAAATTTCAAAGGAATTTGGAAAAGTTCCGTAGAAAGCTGTTCTAGGAATAATCCCACAGAAGTCCATTTCTACTTTTTCAGTGCAATTTATTCTTCAACATGGAGTTTATATTTGGTTTAGATTAGGCTTGATTTTAACTAGTTTCTTTAGAGGCAAGTATATTGCAATCATGTCTTTTATGTCAAGCATGCACCCCCTAATCAATTTGATTTGGGCAATGTAAAGATGTGTGATGGAAGAATAAAAATTTTAAAGACAGTTAAATTCACATGAGTTCCACAAAAACTGTCACAGGACTAGAGTTAGTGGACTTTCTGTGCAAAAGTTAACTCGTTATCTTTCATGTTTTGTCTGTTGATGCGACAGATGGCGCATAACCTGCTGGCCAAACTATGGCACATACTTCCCAGACCATGATGGAGTGAAGAGGGCAGCTAGAACTGCTGAGAAATTCTGAAAATTCTCAGAAAAGATGCAGAAGGATGGATCTGAAGGTATCAAGGCAGATTTCTGAGACTAAAGTATATTTACAAAGGACGTGAACTGATGCAAGGTAAATAGTTTGACTTTCTGTCATAAGAAGGTACAGGGTAATAAGCCATAGAAAAGATCAATGTTCTGCTTCCAGTTCTGTCACAGCTCTGTTGGGTGTCTTACCAGGTCATTCATTTAATCAGTCAGTGCACCAGATTCACATAAAATAGGGATAAAATGCTTACTTTACAGGTTATAGAGAGGTCATTTGCTTTTGCTAGAAAAAGGCTTTGCAGCATTTGAAAGAAGTGCAAAATGTACATGAACAGAACACAGAAGTGAATGTAGGCAGACATCACATCATCCATTTAATGTGACATCCATTTAAAATTGACACTAGAGTTGGACTAGGTTCACTTCTTATCAAAATTCATTCAGTGAAAATCTCCACATTAAACCATCAAGCATCAGGATTTTCCTTTTTTGTGTGCCTTCTTGTTCTTCAATTGAGAACCTTGCCAACTACCTCCTCTGACAAGTGGGCCCTTGAGACAACCACCTGACACCGAGTCCAGCACAGGCTTCCCAGAAGAACCCTTCACCTATCCTTCTCAGGATCTTCATGCAGTTTTGAGTATTTCTGCTTCACACACATAGAATTCCCAAATCTCCAGCTCCTTTTATTTTTTTCATATAAAACCAACCACCATCTGAAAGTAAATGTTATCTTACCTTTCCTTAAGGGAACCTTTGGGAGTATAGCAACTATATTCAAGAAGACACATGTTGTCATGTGGACCTCTTCTTTCATGAAAACTGATCTATTTTCTTCCCCTCTCCTCCTGTCCAAAGTTTTCCATGTCTGCATGAGGCTTACTTCTTCTGAAGCCTTATTTAAATCTGTGCTTTACCTTTTGGCTTCTGTCCACAATGCTAGCACCCTCAGCAGGCAGACTAACTGGTCACTCTGATTTCTGTAGGATAGGTCTATCTGATTTTCAGGATATTGTAACCACAAATTACAATGTGATCTATTATTATAATATCCAGCTTGAGAAGAAGGTATGATATTTTTTCAGAAGGAAGTTCTATATATGGATATAGAGACATTTAGGTGACAATAGATGTCAGAGAAGCAAGTGCAGGTTAAAATAATGAATTCAACCTGCAGTTGAAAGTTCACCAAAAATTAAGTTCACCAAAATACTGTATTTGCCTCTGTTTTCCTGGACAGCTCACTACATTTCTGATCTCATCAAATAGATATATACTCACTCATATTTGACAAAAAAGCTTTTATGTTTGAAATACTTATAGTGGTATCATAAACATATGAACAATAAATAAGTTCAGACAACTGAGGTACAGAGAATGAGAATTATGCTACATCCATGTAGGATCACCAAGTATCTTTAGTATGGTAACCACAGACAACTGTTGGCATGTGGTGTGGGGTGTAATTGAAGCTTTGTTAATAATTAGAGTAGTTTTACTGGAGTGCTTCCCTGCAGATTCTTGAGATTTTGTGGAGGTCATTCCTCATACTATTACAACTACCATAAATACCTTTGGTTGTCTTTCTAACTCTCAAATTAGCAGCTGCTATTCCCTTTCTAAAATGACCTTGTCTACTCCAGAGATACCAATACTTAAAATAGCAATATGGGTTAAAGAATTGAAATGGTTTACATTTGAATTTTTCCTTCTCAGTGACAACGGTTTCTCATCTAGCAAATCTAGCTTTGTTATTTGTTATGGCCTTTGGTCCTTTCATCACATTTGGAACAGGCTGTATTTGATGAAGATCCGTTCAGAAAACTACTCTTAAAATAAACAAAGATAATTTCATGCATGTTAGGAATTTAAATCACTTCTGGTCCCAGAGCAACCTGACTCAATTCTTTCAGAATGGTCTGACAATTATAAAATAAGATTAATTACAGTAGGAAAGAATAAAAGCTGCAAAGGCTTGTGATTTCTATTTTTCTTGTAAGATGGGTAAGCTAAGTTCAAAATATGGATCCTGTTAATTACCAGATCTTTTAGTACAAATCAGGAATATTGTTACATCAATTTACATTTTCATTATTGGCACTATATTTAACTGGCCTAATTTTCTAGGTTATTCATATCACAACTTTTGTTGAGTTTGACATTGTTTGATTGATCTCTCCTACACTGAGAGCCATCTGCCCACATTGTTATAAGCAGCAGGACAGCAGAAATTGACCATTTGTTACTATCAAAAATGGAAAACATTATGCTTTCATGATGTCCTTAAACCATACATGTCTACTTCTATCCTCTATAAAACACAGCATATCGAACTTCAGTATTCATTATGTTCAGATCAACTCTTGTCTGGTTTTAGTAGAAGCTCTGCTTTCTTTTTAGCTCAGGGATGTTGAAAAGTATATTAAGCTTAATATTTCATGCAAAACTAGGTTATATAATGATTTCATATGTAAAGTAGGTGAACAGATGGATTTCTGCTCTTGTGATCTGAACTAGATTAAATTAGAACTCGGTTTAACTAGGTTAAACTGCATGGTCTTAATAAGGTCATTTAGAACAAGATAAAACATTAAATAAAGGAATCATTAATTCCATCCAAAAAATATAATTAATATCAAGTTTTGTTTATTTATTTGAAGAAAAAGAATCAGAACTTTTTAGCAATAAGTTACTTTTCTAAGTAATAATAAGAGAAGTTTATAAACATACTCCATGCTCGATAAGCTGTATTCTAATGTTAAAATTTTCTGTTACAAGAATAATTTCTTCCATTCACATCTCCTATCATCTCTATGTGACAGAGGATTAGCAACTTTTCATAAACAGATGCTTGTATTTGTCACAGGTATTTTGGCCTACAGCCAGCAGTAGCCAGACAGGTGTTTTGTGCAAAACCAAAGTCCGCCTCACAGGAAGAGGCTGATGTCTAATAACTGCCTAATAACTGCTCCTCCCAGAAAAAAAATCAGTATTAGAGCCACATCTGCTACTCCTCTTGTGTCCCAGCAGCTGTATTTGAAACTCAACAACTTTCTAGGCTAAAACACCTTTTCTTGATGAAATTCCTCAGCATTATTTTCATGCATTATGCAGTTGATTTGTCACACTGCATGATGCACAACCTAGTTATTCTGGTTAAACTCATGGCTAAATGAGAACCGGATTTAAATAGTTAGGTAAATTTATATTTCATTAAATAGAGGTCAAAACATATTTCTTAATTCTTGTTCTGAATAAGGATTTTGATGGGAAGAATAATAAACATTGGCAGTCCATAAATAGTGATTTGTATAGCCCAAAGGCTTAAAGATTAACTTTTCACACTGCAGCAAGCAATGAACAAGTAGACAAGGACAGAATACATTCCTGAACAAAGCAAAATGCTTTGGCCCATGGTCAAAGGTGTTTCCATCATTTTGTTCTTCAAATGTAGTCAGAAAATCTTCCAAAATTAGTGCTACTATTCTCAAAATTTCTTTAGATATGTAGGAGAGGTGCATAAACTAAGAACTTCAGATTATTAAGTATTTTTTTTATTATTTCTCCAAGAAACAAATTCTAACCTACTCAAACTCCATTATGAAATCTGATAAGATTGATGGGAACTTAAGACACTCACAGTGAAACACATGTGGGAAAGAGCCAAGTAGACAAGAATGTTCCCTCTTCTTAGGGAAAAATAGTTGACGAAAGAAAGAAGTAATGCTGAAATATCTCCTAGAAGCAGAGTGAACTGTTTTTTGACCTAGAGGACAGTTTAGCAAAAATCCCAAAATCCTTAAAAGGAAGTATTTTATCTCAGTTATAGAATTCTCCGGTGGTGTTTTGGGGGATTTCTCTGTGGCAAGGAAATTCTGAAATTCTGCTTTCATTGGGATGCTTGAAAACATGATCAAGAACACAAAATTCTCAGAGAAGAAGTATTTCTAATTTTGATAATATTTTTTTTATCTTATAGGGAGATAATGGGAGTCTCTCAAGTTGGAAGAATAGGAAAAAAAAAAAAGAAAGCTCTTAGGAAGAAGATATCATCTTTGCTTTTTAATGTTTCAGTTCAGTTCTTAAACCACAATTATTTTGGTTAGAAAAGTGAGATGAAAAATCCCTATTATGCCAAGATGCATTTCTTCCTGCTTATAGAAGAACTACCCAGGCACAGTTTCATTTTCTCTTTTGTGGCTTGCTATTGTTATAAGGACCTTGAAAATCAGAGGTTTTGAAGGTGTTTTAAAGAAAATATTTCTACAAAAACACTTGTTTACCAGTCTCTCACACCTTTGTAGTGTTTTTGACCTAATCCAGAAAAGGCTAAGCAAGTCCAATTCTATCACAGTATTTTTATCTTTAAAAAGGATCTGAATGATCCCCTTTTGGAGACAATCAGATTTGAGGGATTCTAGTCAAATTTTTAAAACTATTTCAAATACTCAAGTGGATTCCATAACTTTATTTACTTCACAATGTCTCACAATTTTTAATGTTTACCCCCTTACTATTTTAAATGGCCTGTATAAAAAGCTGTTCCAGTGTCAGTAAACAGAGGCAATTATCTGAATTCTCCCCTTTGAAGGAAAAACCCTCCAGAAATTCCTTTTTTTCCACAACTTGTTCTGCCTGTGTCTGTCAGTCTTTCTTGGAAGTTATATCTGCCAACCCTTGCTGGACTTAAAGTGGTAGGATAAGGTGATGGGTTTTATTGCACAAGCAGAACCCATTGTGTTATGAATCTATGGTAACACTGTACTTATCAAACAAGAAAAAATAAGTTCAATTGCACTGCCAAGTACTTTATGTGCTGACCCTGTTTTCATTTTTATCAAATTTTGTGCAAGAAGGAAAGGGGTTTGGGATAGATCCTGATAATGTATGTCACTTCTGAATTCTGGAGGAGTGTAATCAAATCTGTAAGTGTTCTACAGACTCATACACATTCCCATCATCAGGCCTGTAATCTCTATGAACTCATCAGAGTATGGAGAAGACCAGAAACAGCGAGATATAACACGTAAAATAGATTGTATATCATTGCATACATGTCTCAAATATTCCACAGGCTTTTGTTCA